TTAGTGGTTACGAATCGGGCTGCGAACCTTAAGGTCAGCGGTTTGAAACTACCAGCTGCTCTGCGGGAGAAAGATGAGGCTTTCTACTCCCCTAAAGATTTACACCCTCGGAAATCCTGTACAGGGTCGCTATGGGTCGGAACTGACTCAACGGCACATAACAACAACAGTCTATACTGGAGTCCTGGTGTGGTGCTGTGGGTCAATGTGCTGGACTGCAAAGTCGGTTTGATCCACATGATCAGCAGTTAAAGCTCACCAGTGGCTCCTCAGAAATCCTAAACAAGACCACTATGGATCAGAACCAACTTGATGGCAGTTTAACAACAAACAACAGCTACATATATTGCCTCAAACTTAAGACTTAAAATTATTGAGTACTAAAGATGGAAGAATCAAAGTCCACCAATATCTAAATGTTCAACCTAAGGACTCACCTCAGATAATAAATGTCCAAAAGTGTACCAATTAAGTTTTTTTTTTTTTTTTTTAAGTACTGGATACAAGAATAGATTTGATTCCTCATATTATAACTGAATATAAAAACAAACCTGTGTTGAAAAAAAGATTGTAAAACATCATCTCAAGTACTTTATACAGGTTATCAAAAGGGACCAATCCCGGGAGAAGAAAATCAGGGTTGCTAGAGTAGAAGGTGGGAGTCCTGGTGTGGCGCTGCGGGTTAATGCACCAAACTGCAGTCATTTGAACTGCAAGGTCGGCAGTTCAAGCTCACCAGCTGCTCCTTGGAAACACTATACAGGGTCGCTGTGGGTCGGAACCGACTCGACGGCACTTCACAACAGCAACAGAGTAGAATGTCAGAGAAAAAGATCCTCGAGACGGACTGACACAGTGGCTGCAATAGTGCCTTCAAACACAACGATTGTGAGGATGGTGTAGGGACCAGTGCTTCATTGTGTAAGTGGAATCACCTAACAATAGCGATACAATAAATTCAAACCAAATGATCATTAAAAAAATCACATGCTTCTTCCATTAATCGTTAGGCAGTAATTAAAAGTGACACTGGTGTTGGTTGATTCGAACTACCGGCCCTACAGTTAGCTGCCCAACTTGCAACCCACTACACTAGCAGGGCTCCTAAAATTGGCATTAACAAATCCTAAATCATGTTTCCCTCAATATAAATATATAGTCTACCCATGAATACTGAGGAAAACAGAAGGCAAATCCTCTAATAATCAATTGAGTTTTCAGTGTATATTTACCTTTCAATTTCCACTGAAAGTGCTAGATAAAAAGCGTTTGACTAATAGAAGGAAAAACATCCCTTACTCCACAGCAGAGAAGCAGGACGTTCACTACTCGTATGTCAATGCCCAGTTACGTTTAATAATGTAATTCCAATATCCCCCAAAACAGCAGGAAGGCAATGTAGAGTCCCAGCTATATACAAGCCAGAGTTAGCTGCATATGAAACTGAATTAAAACACACTACCCATTAAATTACACAACACATTTAAGACCATTTTTATTAAATATACAAAAGCAAAATCAAGCAAGCTTCAGGGAGTAAAGGAGGGCTACTTTAGGGCATTTTCTTTGGACAGTGGTACAGCACCATTGAAGTGAACTTAGATCTTCAACAAATCATGAACACAGATTGCTAACTACATTCTATGTTTTTCTTAATTAAGGTCTACCTAGTCATCAATCTACTGTTCAGGAAACTTTTCCACTCCAGAGTATATGAACATGATGACCAAAGAAATTTAAATACTGAGAAAAAGCACTGTATAATAAAAATGAACTTCCATGTAAGATTTGTAATGTGTTCCTTTGCACGTAAGGATTTTTCTCTGCGTATTGACTTCAAGTCTGGATTAGTCAAACTAATGAATGTTAAAACAAGACCCTGACTAGAACCTGCAGATTAATCACCCTATCTCTAACTGGTCAATACTATTTTCTGAAACCAGCAGAACAAGCAGCAAGCAGTTGTTTATTCATTTTGGACACTTAACTTGAGAATGCATTATTTTAGTCAAAGTAAAACTGTTATAAAAAAGCTAGTTAACATATCCAGAAACAGAATCCCATTTTTTTGTTTTTTCCTCTTGGATCACCCTTGAGTTCAGATTCATCTTCTGAGCTGTATCAGAGATTCATTGGCTGCAGATCAATAAGTGACTTGAACAAAAGTTTAAAGTTACTTGAGACTAACATTGAGTAGTTTCCAAAAAAGAATGAATCCAAAAAGAATGCAAGTACCTTTCATGAACAATGCTTTCATATATTTCCCTCTCTAAAAAGAATATGGTTTTAAAGTATGTTTTGCCATCAATAATTCTGATATATAATTATACAGCTGATTGATGAGAGATGTACACCTATGGAAAATGGCATACGTAAGCTAGATGTACAAGTCTAGTTTACAGATATTAATACATCATTATTTGAATGGACTTGATATATCACACCAAAAACTACAGGGTCGAGGAATACACGGACGTGATTAACTGTACCAAGACAATCATAGTCAATGAACACTATTCGTAAACAAAGCATAGGAAAAATAGACATGTCCAAAAAAGATTTTGTCAATTCCAAGTGTATCTCTATTTCCTTTCTACGCACACCTTGGAATACTTCCAAACTCTGTTGACTTGGATAGCAGAGAGAACTCTGTCAGAGAGCTAGTACCAGAAGTAGTCTCCAAGCTGAAAAACCCTGAACAGGTTTTGAAAAAAGACCCATGCTATAGACACACTGCCACAAACTTTACTGTCTTGTAGAAGATGGATAGCTAAACTGGACGGGCATAGTCCATAATGTTTCACACATGATTCAGTAACAGCCAATATATGCCCAAGGTTGTCTGGTCACTTATCCCTCCCCCTTCTCATAAAACATCGTTCAGCTCCAAATTAGCAATCTGTCGGCTACCTGGGACAAGGGGGTGGGCAGATAGAAGTTAAACAGTCTGAAAATACCAAATGTTGATGTAAATATTCAAATGCAGTTCCTACCCCTATGCCTCCTTAGTACTAAAGAGGTATATTGCTACAATATACGTGGGAGCTTTCAAAGAGTTCATGGGAAAATTCCACATTTAATTCCATTTTTCCACAAACCTTTTAAAGCCCCCTCATAGCATTACTCAATAGAAAAAAAAAAAAAAAAAAATGCTTTAAATTGTTTTTGTTACGTAGGATTTTAATTCTGGATAGTCTGTAGTACCCACAGCAACAAAGTGTTGTTGGCATGTAGATATCAGCACAATGTGACAAACCAGATACAAGAAAATGGGCACAAATGAGGGAAACAGTCTCAGAAGGTTGAAAAGCCCTTAAAGTAAGGTCAAAACATACAGCAAAAAAAATAAATAAATAACAAGGTCAAGAGTACCTAAATAAAGATCTGTGGCTGATCGGGAAACAATAATGGGAAGGGATTAAGCCAGCATCTAACTAAGCTAAAGCTGAACCCACAGATATAACAGAAATTAGGCCGAGGGTATCCATAACAGATTGATGAGGGAACAAATGAAATTCAGAGGAAAGAAAAGATCTACTGGGCTATTATCCAACGCAAGTATTTTGCTTCAGCTTGCTCTTAGTAAGTGATGTAATTGCATAAAACACTGAGGAAGGCAAAAGTGGGTAGATATTACAACAGTATCCAAACACCCAACCTTTTCATCAGTTAGAATGGCTAGGAACTACCAATCCACCACTAAGATAGGTGACCCTCACTGTCAATCATCTTTAAGGAACCAACTAAGGATTGTTGTTAAAGTGCTGTAGCATCGATTCCAACTCATAGCAACCCTGTATAGGGTTTCCAAGGAGCAGCTGGTGGGTTTGAACTGTCGATCTTGAACCAAGGACTGCATAGCTAATATTTGAAGCTTGAGATGGTAGCTCCACAAATTGAGACCAGTAAACTTTGCATTCCTTTTGAGGAATAGTCTAGAATAGTTAACTAAAAGATGTCTGTTAAAACATATAAATGAAAAGTATCTGCAAAGAGACAACAAGCATTCCTGAAACCACGTTGATGGAAATACTACAGTATAGCAGCCCCAGGAAACCTATGTGGATGACAGAAAACTTGGCCCGCTTTCATGATCAACAGTACCTGAGCAAGAAAAATGAGGCATGGGTGCTAATACAGTTAGGTGGATTAGCAGCGGAATGACTCCATCTACTTATAGCATGATCTATCCCTAGGGCCCACCTAGCACAAAGCTGTCATGAAGCAAGTACTCAATAATTACTGCACAGAATGGTGAACAGATCCATCTAGGAGTTATGCAGACTATAAAACCAAAGCACTCCTCACTATGAAATAGCTCCACTCTCCTCATACCTCCGGTTCTACATCCACTTCTTCAACATACACACCCCCTATGCCCTCATTCCTAAACAGTAAAAGATGAGGACACATTATTTCCAAGTATTGGTCACTACTGCAGAATAAAACAGCAACAATTTCCACAAAACCCTCCATAAACTCCTTTTATCATTATGTAAAGCTTCTACATACTGTTCAAGAAACTTTGGAACCACTTACACTACTTTCAGTCGCCTTTTAACTCCTGCATGTCAAAAAGCCCAAGGGTGCTAATGAAAACACAAAAGCCCTTCTGTAACTGCCTTTCACAAAGCAGCAAAAACTCAAACAAGTTTATGTGGTTTTTCCTGAAACCTGCTGTTTCAGGTAAAAAGAATAAGATATTTAAAACATTTTAAGTGTCACAATTTTTTAGATTGGTTAAGAAAAATTATAATGCTTGTGACATTAACACTCAAGAATCCTGTCAATGAAATCTCTCTCAATGGTAATGGTAACATGCTTGGCCACTTAAAAATCTTCCTTTCTTAATCTAGGCATGGTATTTTTAGGAAAAACCATCATGTAATACTCTATTTACTTATCTAAAAAGTTTGACAGCACTATGTCTTTATTATGGATTAAGTAAGTTTAAGAAATAGCTATTTTTAATCTTTAAAACAATGCACTGAAAGTAGTCGAATTTCAGAGTTTTATTATCATATTGCACTAAAGGAACAGCAGGATGATTATACAATGTTCTCTCATTCAGTTTTGAAACTGTAAGTAAGGTACTTGCAAATTCTTAAGAATACTTCTGCCACCGTATTTAAACATTATAATAACCGATTTCTTAATAAGTAATGTCTTACAAATAAAAACACATTTAAAATAGCTTTAAATGCATCCTTCACAAGTAATTAGTATATGTTTTTATATCATGTTCACTTATGCTTAAGAATTAAAGCAAGTATATTATTACTCTGGTGGAAATATGGGAAATCTCTCATTCATGCAATTTATAGGGATAAGATTCAAGTCGGAAGAGAAAAGAATCCCATTCTTCTTTTGTTCTTTTGTGAAGTTATCCATAAACAAATCATCTACATGGTGGATGAGGAACCGCACAGTCTCCCACCAACCACTTGTACATTTTCCATTCGTCAAAAGCACCTGATGATCTACGGGTAATTTATAATCAGAGGGCATTTCAATAAAACCAAAATGAGTCCTATAAACAAAAGCTTCCAAAGGACTAAGGACAGTCAGTAATTAATGCAATCAGTCACAGGGCTGTGGCTGTTCCTTAAGGAGTGCAAGTTCAAACCTGTCAACACCAGAGGTAATCATTTATGTTCATTGATACAGAATTCCATTTAAATTCTTTATCCGAGTATAACATAGGAAAACAGTCTTTCCACAAGCAAAAAATGTGGAAACATTTAAAAAATAAGGAGTCATTTTTTAAAGTAACTGATCAGATTCCATAGGCTACTCTTGGAAACAGGACCTTGCTGGAGAGAATCCCTTCATTTGGTGGCTTTTTGCATGCACTTAACTGGACCAAATTCTTCTGTGTGTTGTTCTAAGAGCTCACCAAAACATAGATCATGCTGAAAAGAAGAAAAAAAAGCTGTTAATGTAAACATTCTTAATTAAAAACTGAAAGCACCAAAATGATGAATCTTCTTTATACAGCTAACAGTTGTGGTGTTTTGCCATCACAGAACATGAGGAAACCAATGACAAGTTCACAATAGAATTTTAATTTGCATTTCTGTACGTTTGGTTACAGGAGGACTTGGCTCAATGCATGTGTTGTAGTTATTCCCTATTTCCTTTCCAAATTTAGCAAGTAGAACAGCACAGCTGAAGGCTAAATGGAAAATCAAAGCTCAGAGAAGCAACTGAAAACACTGCTTCGTTCTGGAGTTATCACTAATAATAGCCACGAAAATCCCTGGAGGGCTCGCTGCATGCCACGCCCTTATTACCTCACTTAATCTTGATAGAGCCCTTGGTTGTAGCTGCTATTACTCTCCATTAAAGAATTCACCCACTAAAGAAATACTCTAGACAAATCCAAAATATAAGAAGCAACTACCATTCAATTTAGGAGTGTTGGATTACTAGCCAAAAGGTTGGTGGGTTGAACCCACCCAGAGACACACTGGTAAACTAGCCTGGCAACATGTTTCTGTCAGGACACATCTTTGAAAACACTATGGAGCAGTTCTACTTGACACAGGTGAGTTTCCATGAGTGTTTTAAGAATTGATTCCACAGCAACTGACATCCACCACCATTCATTCAATGTAGGCTAAGAACTACCAGGGACGACTCTACATATGGGAAAGGCATACAGATATGGTTCAAAAGCATGCTATCTAAATGGAAAAACAAAGCAAGAAGCTGCGCAAACTTGATACACAATTTTTAAAAAGAAATGAATTCCCTAGTGCCAACACCTTCTTGTGAACATTTCCCCACAATTGCAAATCTCCAATTTACCATTTATCCAATCATTCTTTTTTTTTTCCCTTACAAATATGTATTAAGTGCCTACTATATTAGGCAAATCTGCTGTACAAGACCTTTTTAAAGCGTTGAATAGCAAAGATGTCAGCTTGAGGACTAAGGTGCACCTGACCCAGGCCATGGTATTTTCAATAACCTCATATGCATGTGAAAGCTGGACAGTGAATAAGGAAAACCGTAGAAGAATTGATGCATTTGAGTTATGGTGTTGGAGGAGAATATTGGAAGTGCCAAGGGCTGCCAAAAGAACAGATCTATGTTGGAAGAAGTGCAGCCAGAATGCTCCTTGGAGGGCAGGATAGCCAAACTTCATCTCTCATACTTCAGACATATAGTCAGGAGAGAACAACTGCTGGAGAAGGATATCATGTTTGGTAAGGGGGAGGGTCAGTGAAAAGAGGAAGACCCCCAGCGAGATTGGCAAAGTGGCATTATCAGTGGGCTCAAGCATGGCAACAAATGTGAGGTTGGCCTAGGATCAAGCAGTGTTTCATTTTGTTGTGCATAGGGGCACTGAGTCGGTACCGACTTGATGGCACCTAACAACAATATGCCAGCACAAGGAGCTCTGATAGCATACTGGTTACTAGCTGGGCTGCTACCCTCAAGGTCAGCAGTTCAAAACCACCAGCCGTTCCACAAGAGAAAGATGAGGCTTTCTGCTCCCGTAAAGATTTACAGCCTCGGAAACCCTTCCTACACGGGGTCGCTAAGAGTGGTCGTGTGCCAACTGCATGGCACACGACCACTACCTCCATATAACAGCACTGTTCCAGGCACTTGTTACAGATAGTTATAGAAAAATTTACAGTAAATTAGAATGACGTGAAATTTCACTTTATAGACTCTCTTCATGCTCTGTTTCATATATGAGCAACACCTGTAGATGACCTAAGGCCTACTCACTTTCAGTTATAGCATCTGAAAGCATAAAAACATTTTTTCCTTACGTTGTTGTCTAACGGATTACCCATTTCCATAATGGGAATTTATATGATATAAAGAAACATATGAAGAAACTACCACAAAATACTTGGTAAAGTTTCAAACAGCAAAACTAAGAGGGAATGAAAGCTTAATTATTAACAATTTCATTTTATACAGCTAGTTTTCTAGTTTTGAAAATCAGATGGAAAGCTATCTCAAGTTGAATACATATCAGTAACAGATAGTTTTAAAGTGTCATATGTAGTGCTTAAGGAGACATTAAAATTCTATTCTAACAGCTTGCCTAGCTTGAAAAAGGTAGGAACTCAACTGCTACTTACGAGGTTGGCATTTCAAATCTAGCAGCTGCTCCTCGGAAACCCTATACAGGGTCGCTGTGAGTCAGAACCGACTCAGCAGCACTTAACAACACAATAGTACACCTAGAGCAACTGGAGGGCACGTGGCAGAGTCTAGAGACACTGCTGGTTGTCACCACTGGGGGACATAGTGCCAGGAGAGCCACTAAACATCCTCTACAAGACCACTGTCATAACAGACTCATCCTTTCTAAAATGTCAGCCATGACTAGACCCCTAACCTAGAAGACAGATGGTATGAGCATAAAAGGAAAAATACAGCTCATTCTGCCATCCTGTAAGTGGAGCTATTCCTTTCATTCATTCCATTATTGTTGTTAAGCGCCCTGCAGTCAGTTCCAACTCATAATGACCATGTATAAGGTTTCCAAGGAGCAGCTAGTGAGCTTGAACTGCCGACCTTGCAATTCAAACCAACCTTGAAGTTCGGCACATTAACCCGCAGTGTCATTCCATTAGGATCAAGCAAGCCAGAAAAAGAGGCAGAGCATACAGTTTCAGTATCATAAAGAAAAACTTAAGTTTCAAGAGAGACAGTCAAGCAGAAACTTTTTTGCAACCTCGAAGCGCAATGCTGCCATTCAGCCATGAGATGAAGGACTGCCCTGTACTGAGGGCATACGTGTGAAAACTTCGGGAGCTCCATCCCTGACCACAGTTTCCGCCTCTGACCGTGCACCAGTTTCTCTCCTTGACAAATACCTGTGAACACACTCTTAAACATGCAAGATCTGCTGGTGTGCACATGCCATTCCTAGTTACCATCACTCAGGTCACGACTGAGTCTTCAACTGAACTTGAAGGTGATAAGACCATATGAATGTAAACTTTTTAAGCAGCCAAGTGATACTGTACTTTCAAAACTTACCCGTATAGGTAGTAAAAAAATGCTAGGAGATAAAAAGCTAATTTGCACCATCCTTCTTTCTGACAATATGCTAGAATATCTGCATTCATGATGGTTGTGGGGTCATAGAGTCCTGGTCCGCTCATCACTGGTCTACTCATATACCTGGAATAAACACAGACTGTTAGCCACCCTGAAAAAGGAGTGAGTCTTCAGAATGGTAAGAGGGTTCTTTTTCTCAAATACAGGTAGCCCCCAATTTACAACAAGGTTCCATTCCTATGAATCTGACGCAAGTATCAATTCATCCATCAATACTTCTTCAGTATGTTGTTGTTGCTAAGTGTTGTCAAACAGGTTCCAACTCATAGTGACCCTGAGAGGGTTTCCAAGGCTGTAAATCTTAAATCAGGGCACTGAGTTTGTGTTTTGTGTGCTTTTTCAATATATATAAGTATTTTATTGTGTTCTGCGAGAAAATTTACATAGTAAATTAGGTTTTCATTTAACAATTTCTATGCATACTATTCAAGGAGCTCTAGTGGTGCTGTAGGATAAGCAATGGACTGTCCACCACAAGGTCAGCAGTTCAAGGCCACCGGATACTTCACAAGAGAAAGATGATGATCTACAGCCTCAGAAACCCTACACAGGGTCAGTGTGAGCCGGAATCGAGTTGACGGCAGTGGGTTTGGTTTTGTGGTTTGGTGGCTAATGTTCAGTGACATTGGTCGACTTTTCACAGTGTGTCAGCATTCTCATGATTTCCATTCTAGCTGCTCTGTTGCCATTCTCCTAACTTTCCTGTCCTCTCTTAGCTTCTCATCATCTTTGGTCTCAAGGGTAAATGCTAACCATCAAGTCTTATCTGGGGAGTGTGATGGTAGTCAGATAAACCCCGGACTACGAACCACAAGGTTGGCAGTTCAAGTCCATAAGCATGTGCCAAAGATGAGGCTTTCTGCTCCAGCCAAGATTTACAGCATGAGAAATCCAATAAAATGTTGCTATGAGTCAAGAACGTTCTTGACGACACTTACCAACATCTCATTTAGATGACTGTTCAGAGCAGAGGTGGGGTATGTGTGCCCCTGCCAAGGTAACCACAGTTCCAGCTACCACATGAGGAATGAGTTAATTTTATCTTTACCCAGATAGACCAGGCTAATTTTTAAGTTGATAATTTTGTATGGCCCACGAATGCTATAAATTCTGACAGAAAAAAGGTTCCCCATCCATGGTATAGATGAAAAAAGTAATCCCAAGAGAAATGATTTATTTTATGAGTTACTCTGTATTTGGCTAATAGGTGACCACTGAGAGTGGATTGAGTTCTAAGTTTAAAGCGTATCCTGGAGACAGTCTGGGAGGTTCCTCTAGTTCCTACTGTTCCCGTAAGTCTGGCCTTTTTCAGGAAATTGAGTTTTGTGCTTTTGAGGAAGTATCTGTAAATATGAGTCTTACATGCTTTACTTTACATACAAATACCTATGCAGCACCGACAAGCATGTAACTGAATATATATCAGTAAAAGATATTTTAAAGTATTACTTATATGTAGTGCTTAAAGAGACATTAAAATTCTCTTTAAATACTTTAAATAAAGGTCTGCCTCCAAAAACACCTACACATGCTCACTTACTTATTCACATGTGCTTACCTACACCAGCCACTCCTCAGAAGCCCTATACAGGGTTGCTATGAGTCAGAACCAGCTCCACGGCACTTAATAACAACATATGCACATATCTACCTATGTAAGCCAACACATATATTTTTGATTACTATTACAGTTACTGTAAAATTACACATTCTGTGGCTTTTACCAAAATCATCCTTATTCTTGTGGGACAGTGAGATTTTTGACATGCCTGTTTAATAAAAAACAAACTTCATTTATGCAGATCAGATATAACTATTAAAAGAGTTACGGGATATATCTTGTATAAATAACCAAATTTATTTAAAGTCATAAATTAAACATGGAGAAAGTAGTCAGACACACACTTCAATTTCTATGAAGGTCAGAGATTGGCAACACTAATCTAAGTTGACAGGAGTCAACAGATGCCCTCAGAAGGCATGTTGTAATTGTTAAATGCCATGGAGTCAGACTCATAGCAACCCTGCAAAGGGTTTCCGAGGAGCGGCTGTTGAGTTTGAACCACCAACCTTGTCCTTCAAACCGACCATGCAGTCCAGTGCATTATTCTGCAGCGTCACACCAGAATACCTTGGAAGGCATGGACTGTTAACTTTGGATTGGGGCACTCAGAGACTCCTGGAGGCGCTGGAATTGTGTGTATCTTGATCGAGGTTTTATATTTACACACATATATATACACATATGCTATATATTATCTATGGAATCCTGGTGTGGCGCTGTGGGCTACATACAGCATCAGACTGCAAAGTCGTTTGAACTGCAAGGTTGGTGGTTCAAGCTCACCTTGGAAACCCTATGGTGGTGGTGGTTATGTGCCGTGGAGTCAGTTCCAACTCACAGTGACCCTGTACAGGGTTTCTGAGGCTGTAAATCTTTATAGGAGCAGAAAGCCTCATCTTTCTCCCTTGGAACAGCTGATAGTTTTGAACTGCTGACCTTGCGGTTCACAGGCCGATTCGTAACCACTACGCTACCAGAGCTCCTTGGAAACCCTATACAGAGTCGTTATGGGTCAGAATCGACTCAACAGCACTTAACAAAACAAACATATATATCTATATATATAAACTCACTGTGCTGCACACTCCAGACTTGGATATATTATTGTATACGAGCCAACATTTCATTTTTCTAAAAATTCCTTTTAAAAGTAACACGGTAAATCCCGTAAAAGACATTTAAACAGTTTTTTGTTCATCAATCTGATTTTTATAATGACAACTAATTTTCAGATTTTCATTTAGGTGATTAGTATGCAAGATAACCACATCACAGAGTATAATAAAAATTTAAGGGGAGAAATCTAAATATCTAAATATTACCTCCAAATATGATATGCCAAGAGGGGCATATTGAGACCCAGTGTAAGCCACTCTGCTGCACAAAGAAACATGACACAGAAGAAAGCATGGATGAGGTACTCTGGAAGTACAAGCTGGAAGAAAAACACAAGCCAGTTATCACAATGTCTCTGCACTGAGTCTAACTAACAACGTCAACTACCTACATGGAGAGGAGGTGGCAACCGAGTTTCCACAATGAAAAAGCATTGCTTTCTTAGAATTTGAGATGAACGATGCTGCTAAATTTTTTTTTTTTAACTTTTTCACCAAAAGCAGGATTATAAGCAAACTAATCAGAGATATAGCTTGCATTAAAAAGGTAAGAGATGACTTGCACTTAAAACTCAAATTGTTAGAATGAGTTAATTTACACAAAGTTACCACCCAGAATTATCAGTTATTTATTCATCATTTGGAATACTTTTTCTTTTCAACATTCATATAAAGGATAAAAATATAAAAATGAAGTAATCTGATCACATGCAACATGATAAAAAAAAAAAAAAAAAATCCACAAAACCAAAATTTCCCTTTAGAGATTCATTCATGTTTTGAAGCCTTTAACAGAAACCAGAAATGTTACATATACAATATTTAGCAAACCACATCACATGACCACAAAAGTAATTTTTCAGTGGAAAGCCCATCAGCCAATAATCTCAGCACAGTCATGAAGGGAACACTAATATGCACAGATGCAAACGATATGCTTTCTGCAATGTAGGAGGGAAAAGACTGAGTTCTTAAGCATGAAACTGACATTTTCCAGGCTTCTGAGCTTCCATTTTTAACATGGCCTTTCCATTTCTTTCCAATGAAATGCTAAAGATACAGCATTATTTTCAGACCAGTACAAGCTCAGAGGTCAAAAACAAACTTTTTGATAGTAGGTAATATTAGGTAAGAAAAAATAAATTCAAGCAAAATGCTTTTTATAAAATGACCAAGAATTTTTAAATTCTATGCCAAAATAAGCAAAGTAATGCTTTCCTTTTTAAATTATCTTTCTCATTCTATAGATTTCAATCTAATGACCTTGAATTAGAATACCAAAACCTTTCACAGCAACTTTCAAACAACCTCCTACAAGACTTAACTACAAAGTCAATTTCTCAAATGCCTACTTTCCACTTCATACCACATGAAAATTATGATTCCTCAACACCATCAGATCTTTCCTGAAGGAAATGCATGATTCTAGAAATGCATGATTCTAGAAATAATACAATCACACAACATATTTTCTAATACTCCTAAATTATGATTTCCAATTTAAAACTGCAACATGAACTCTTAAGTGAATAAATTTTAAATGAAATCCCAGTTAAACCAACTAATCTACACCACTAACCAGGTATTTTCTTTAAACGTTAGCAATATAATTAATAACAAAAGATGAGCACCTCATGAGAATACACGCTTGTAAATTGCATAAACTTTTACACAATCATCTATTTCAGATTAAAGTTAAACATCTACAATCTAAAAAAAAAAAAAAAAATCCACAGGATATCTTTGAAATTCACTCATTCCAATTTAACAACCCAAGAAAAATATAGTTATGAGATGCTCCACTCGAGCTACACTTTTTAATACTAGTTTGAACTATGATTTTTTTTTTTGTCTATTCCAGACTTCTAAAGTCAGTAGTTGATAACAATACAAATCACCATCCAGAGTTTTCAACCTAAATTTACAGACAGGAATGAGGAGAAAATGGTTCTAACAGCATGACTCCCACTGCTCTTAAACAATGAACTTCAATAGTAGTTATAAATATGGTCTGCAACTCTACCAATTTTAGAATGAAACAAACATCACACTCCTTGTTTTCCCTCAAAGAGTCCATGAGCTCATGAAATAAAGAAATAAAAACAGTCCTATTCAATCATTCTTTAATGATCAGATTTTTACCCCGTAAGTGACATAAAACCAATTCCACTTAAGAAGCAGGATTCACAAACAAACTTTTGGTATCCAGGGAATAAAAAGACCTCATGCAAATATGACTGAAATGACCAAGCTTAAACATGCAAATCACAATATTATTTTGTTAAAGTTCTTTTTTTTTTTTTTAAATGATATTTGTCTTCCCCCATACTTTGGCAGAATTGTCAAAACAAATTTTAAATAGGGAAAACTGTCAGATGCACTGCTATTAAGCCAATTATTGGCACCCTATCCAAAATGCAACTTGTGCTGATATAAAAACCTCCTGCCAACCTATTGAAGCATTAGGATACTCCTAGTACATATCTTTCCCAAGTAAGAAATTCTGTGCATTAAGAAAAGTCAGAAATCACATGTTAAAATGAAGTTCGTTCCTCTTAACTTGACAGTAACTATAAAAATGCAAGAGCATGAGCATCAAAAATCAGACTGTCCTGATTCGAACTAGCTATATGATCTGGAATGAAGTTCTTGAAACTCTCTAAATCTGTTTCCTCTCTTACACGTGAGAAGAACAACATAGCTACCACTTAGACCTGTTATGAGAATTATCCGAAACGATCCAGGCAAGGACTTACTTAGCACACAGTCTGGCACATTAGAAAGCCCTCATCTGATCCCAGCTATCACTATCCTTCTCATGAAAAAGTCAAAGAATACTATTCACAAACAGCTATCAAAAGGAGAAATTTCAGTTTCTTAATGAAACTACGCGCTGTTCTGCGGGAGAAAGATGAGGCTTTCGCTCCCATAAAGATTTACAGCCTTGGAAACCCTATACAGGGTCGCTATGAGTTGGTTCTGACTCCAGTAATAAAGTAATAAAGTAGGAAACTCTTCATAAAACTAACTTTAGATGTGTTTCCAGAAAGTTCCTCTAGCATGCAAGTGCATTATTTTACACAACAACCATCTATACAAGCTCTCATCTTCATTTAAGATTCATTTTTTAAAATGAATTACTGTATTCCATTTCCTGAAGACATGCCCGCTGCGTTCCTACATATAAGCTTTCACAGATTCTGACCAATCACACAAAATCAAACCTATAAGCTAAAACAACCTTCTTAATGAGTAAAAGAAATGAATTCAAGATATAAATAGCCCCTAAGGACAATGGAAGTACATTATAATCATAGCACATCTCAGAACAAAGAAAAAAATTCTGTTTTAGAAACTGAGAGTAAATAGATGCTAGAAATAACTAGGTACACATTGTATACAAATTGTTAATCACATAATTCTGGCAACATGAATACAAAGGGCAATATTACTGCAAGATTCCAGGGCCTAAAAAAAAACTGCACTTTAAAGGCACTGAATGACCCAATTAATTCTCAAGTATGCACAAACTAAGACAAAACTAAATATGGCAGCTAGTCACATGACAGATTCATTTGCATACTATCTCACCATAAATCATAACTCTAGAAAAATCTCATCATCTATTAAAGTCATTATACTTTATCCAACATTCAAACACTGACCAAATAATTCAATCTAGAAGTGCCTATGGCTATAATGTAAAACAAACACAAAAACAAAACAAAAAAATGCATAAGCATATAACAGCTTTCCCTACGGGACTGAGTCAGCAAGCAAACATTTGCATAAAACATGAAAATTCATGAAATTATAAACCTCAACAGGCATATGAACAAGCACACTGAACAAAAACATTACAAATACAAATGCCCTAGCCCTCCCCATGAAAATGAATGCAGCGTTAAAACATTAAACTGAAATGCAGTACACACCTTTAATGCAATTTTGACTCTTTTAATCTTTTTGACCTTTTCAACTGTCTTTGGCCGACAATGTAAAAAGCAGATTGGAAGAATGTTAGTATGACAGCTGACAAGATCACCAGCAGATTAATAATAGAAAAGTCAAGCGTGACAGAAAAAAGAATATTTTTTATAATGCTGCCTACTTCAAAAAATATAAGTATATGATGCTACTGAGAATATTGGCCATTTTCTAATTATATGAAGTTAAAAGATAAAAACACTTTAAAACAAATATGGTAAAACCTATATTATAACTTACAGGATTCAGGGTATTACACTGGTCTATAGGATTCTTGTAATCGGTCTTCAGTTCATCAAATGCTATAATCTAAAATAAAATTAAAACCGTTAGGACCTGTCAAATCTGCCCCATCACCACATAATTATTGAATAAAGTAAATAAACCATAAGTAAAACTGCACCAGCACTACAAGTATTGATTTATAAGTCAATATATGCTTTAAAAAATAGCAGGAATCAGATTTTTAAACTGTAAATACTTTCATGTCATTATTTATAAGTATCCTCTTCAATCGTCAATTTTTCGATGTTATTCTGTAATTGAAATAGTTCCCTCACTCAACACAGTCATTTCCACCACTCAATGATCAGTGTGTTGAACCACCGGGACCTGCAGGTTCATGTGATGCCGGAAGCTATATCACCAGTCTACCAAGTGCCAGTAGCATTATTACCCATGGTGGTTCCCCAACTAAGACACATTGAGAAAAAGGACCTGCCCATCTACTTCCAAATACAACTGGCCAGTGAAACCTCATGAAGAGCAGAGGAACACGGTTTGATATTTGAGGGGATTTCAAAAAGTTTTGAATTAATGGAGAAATTACATTATATTTTCATTCCATTTTTACATAAACTTGAAGCAGCCTCTTAGTGCCATCAGATAAGCCCCTCAGACTGGAAGGCACTCAAAACACAACTAGGAAAAAGCTGCTTCCTCAAAGTGGAGTGAACCTTAATTACATTGGAGGGAGTAAAATTTTCAAGCCCTTCATTTGCTGATGTGGCATGACTGAAAATTAGAAGAAACCTTTGTAATCACCATTAATACTAGCAAAGTGGAATGCACAAAGTATCACTCTAGGAAAATTGGAAGTCCTCAAAAATGAAATGGAATGCAAAAGGAAAAGTATCACATTAAAGAATTCCTGGTGATTCTGTAAGATAAGCACTGGATTACTAACACAAAGTAGGTGATTCAAACCCACCAGCGGCATCACACGAGAATGATGAGGCTTTCTACTCCTGTAAAGATTTACAGCCTCAGAAACCCTATACAGGGTTACTGTGAATCAAATTCAACTTGATGGCAGTGGGTGGGTGGGTAGCATCACATTCACTGTCAAAAAGAACATTTTAAAATCCATGCTGAATTTGGATCCCTTTGGACTGAAATGTGGTCTGCTCTGATGCTAGTCTTCCACATGGCAATGTGTGTTCCCCAAATAACTGTCAATAAAAATCCTTAGGAAAAAAATCTATCCCTATGTATAACACTGTCAGTGATAGACTAATACCCATAGGCCAACAGAGAAAACCAGTTAATACTATTATTCAAATTTATGCACCAATCACTAATGCCAAAGACAAAAGAAACTTTTTTACCAACTTCTACAGTCTGAAATTCATCAAACATGCAATCAAGATGCACTGATATTTACTCATCAAGATGCACTGATGATTACTGATGAAGATGCACTGATAATTACTGGCAACTGGGATGAAAAAGTTGGAAACGAAAAAGTACCAGCAGTCAGAAAACATGGTCTTGGTGATAGAAACAACACTATGAGTACATGACAGAAATTTGCAAGACAATGACCTATTCATTGGAAAGACCTCTTTTTATTAACAAAAATGGCAACTAACAGGTGGAACTCAGTACATGTGAAACACACAGGAACATCAACTATGCCTATGAAAAGAGATGACAGAGAAGCTCAACATCATCAGTCAAAACAAGACTGGGAGCAGATTCTGAAGCAGACCATCAATTGTTCACATGCAAGATCAAGCTGAAGCTGAAGAAAACTAAAACAAGTCCGCGAGAGCGAAAGCACAACCTTGAGTAGTACATCCCAGCTGAATTTAGACCCCATCTCAAAAACATATTTGACATACTGAACATTAATGACCATAGACCATAGGGTGGGATGACATCAATGCTATCATACATGAAGAAAGCAAAAGATTATTAATAATATAGGAAGGAAAGAAAGGACAAAAATGGATGTCAGAAGAGACTCTGAAACTTGTTCTTGAACTTACTCTACTCTTGCAGGTAGAGTAACTAAAATGAATGCACAAAATGATGAAGTAGGGAGTCAGATCAACTTTGTTCCTTGCCTGTGTCTAGGGACAGGAAATGTTAACAGCGAGCAGCCCCCCACTTGCCAGCGTTTGGCACAGGATGAGGAGAGGATAGGCGCTCCCCACCCCACCCCCTAACCCCAATGCCTGGAGATCCCACCCCAGAGCCTGTGGAAGCTGAACCAAAGCAAAGGCTTCTGTGCAACTTCTCTAAGGACAAGAGGGGCTGCAAGAGGGGACGCTGCCACTGCAGCTGCCGCCACACAGGTTCAAGGAATGTTTTCAAGGTCGAAAAGAAGTTACTTCTCTGTTTAATAAGGATGATGAACAACATCTATTAGAAAGATGTAAACCTCCCAAGTCTAAAGGAAGTAATATATGGTTAAAAAAGAGTTTACGACAGAGAAGAAATCTGGATTCGGAGACAATTTGGTTTTAAAACAGAACACACAGTGTGAGAAACCAGATGAGATCGAAGGTTGGGAGCCTCCAAAAATTGCTCTTGAAGATGTAGCAGTGGATTCAAATGCCACCGTGAGTGACCATTTGTCTTGGTCAGGCTGGGAAGATGATACTAAAAGCTCTACTAAGCATATGCTGGCCAGCTCAGGAAATAGCTCCAGATGGAGGATCAAGTCAGCTGGAGAGTTGGTTAGTATTAGGTGACAAAGCAAAGGTAATCTTACTGATAACTGGGAGGAATTAGAATGAAAGGAAATACTATATAAATGAAAAAAAGCCATGGTCTCCATATAGTTTCAAACCAAAATTTGCCTAATATTGCACCTTTGTATTTCATTTTATTATGATTTTAGAATTTGCTGTATCATGGTGTTTGCTTTAATGAGTCTATCGTTAAATTTAGTTTAGTCTGTTTCTCACATTAAAAAGAGTAGAGAACTACTTTTGTGGCTATATTTCACAGTTGAATTTTTATTTTCATAATGCTATATTTTAAAATTTCCAAGCATACTGTGATTCCCTGGTGAATACATACAGGAATTATACATTTGATTGCCTTATTATAGAAATTTCCATTTCTTATAATTCATATTTTGCTGAAAGTGGAGATGTGGATTTTTTACGCAATCCTATAAGGTCCTATAATGATTTGCATTCGCCACAGTACTATTTTCATGTCATTCTTGCTTTCAGTTCATTCACTGTTTTTGAATTTACATACCTTTCTTTTGTATACAGCGTATATGAAAAGTCTATGAAACTAAAGACTGTAGCAGTTATGCAATTCTACTGTCAGAACAAACTTGATATCCAAGTAGTTAAATGAATCTTCCAAAGGTGATGTTACATGTTGTTTAATTTAGCACATTAAGATTTTTCCTTATTAAAGCAAAAATATGTAAACAAATTAGGTACTAGAAAAACAAAGGTTATCTTTGAGTATAAAATGTCAATACTTAAAAGCATATATTCATCTGTTGTCTAAAAGCCTCTTGTGTACACTTTGGATAGGCAAATGTTTTGAGATTTTACTTCTGAACTTTTAAATATTGATATTTGTTTTCTTCCAAATTTTATTCTTTTTTGTTTACAGATTAATTAAGGAATGCTGTAAAGAATGGATCATTTTAGTAACTTGACACTGTTAATTTTGTTTGGAAAACATTCAAGTTGCTCTAGAGTTCAAACTATGTAAAATACTGAAATTGCCTCTTGTCTGTAACACCCATTATTGGTTTTTCAAAATGAGACACTTACCATGACTGAACTTAGGTTCATAGCAAGCATATTTTTTCCATGCAAGAATAATTTATAGTTAATTTGAGAACATCACCAAGGAGTTATTTCTCTGTCTCTGTCTCTCTCCAATTAAGTTGTCCCTGGTGGTGGTGGTAGTGGTAGTGTGTTGTGGAATCGGTTCCAACTCGTAGCGACCCTGCATACAGTTTCCAAGGAGTAAATGGTGAATTTGAACCACCGACCTTGCGCTTCAGTGCTCATGCTACAGCGCCACACCAGTTGGTTGGTTGGTTGGCTGGTTGGTTATGTGCCATAGAGTTAGCTCTGACTTATAGCAACCCTGCATAGGGTTTCCGAGGCTGTAAGTCTTTATGGGAGCCAAAAGCCTCAACTTTCTCCCATGGAACCACTGGTAGTTTTGAACAGCTGACCTTAAGGTTAGCAGCCTGACTCGTAACCACTATGCTACCAGAGCTCCTTAAAGTTTGTCTCTAGACATTGCCCTTGACAATGGAATCCTATATACCAGGTAAACTAATTATGTGTCTTTAACAGTATGTCTCTTAATCAGCAGGTATTGTAAATAATCTGTCTAGATAAGAACAGTTTTAAAGAAAATGTTAAATTTTTATTTCAAAACAAAATAAAAAGCCACCAATTTAAAAAAAAAAAAAAAAGAAGAAAGAAATGAAATGATGACGTAAAGAAGATGAGCAGAAGATTTCAAAGGGTGGCTTGAAAAGACAAAGTAAAATATAATGAAATGTGCAAAGACCTAGAGTTTAGGAAGCCAAGAAAAGAACATGCTCAGCATTTCTCAAGCTGAAAGACCAGAAGAAAAAATTCAAGCCTCAAGTTGCAAAACTGCATGATTCTGTGGGCAACGTACACAGGAAATATCAAAAGAAGATAAAAGGAAAGCAGAGAATTACCAAAAAAAAATAGGTCAGCTGTTCCACCATTTCAGGAAGTAGCATATGAAGGACGAGGTCCATGCTGCACTGAAGCCATTGGCGAAAAACAAGGCTCCTGGAACTGATGGCAGTCACTCCCTTAGACTGTGACTAAGGAAGACCAAAGAAGAATTGCTGCATTTGAACCTCGGTGTTGGTGAAGAATACTGAATATACCATGGACTGCCAAAAGAACCAACAAATCTGTCTTGGAAAAAGTACAACCAGAATGCTCCTTACAAGCAAGGATGGTGAGGTTTCATCCCATGTGCTTTGGACATGTTTTCTGGAGGAACCAGTCCCTGGAGAAGGACAACATGCTCGGTAAACTAGAGAGTCAGCA